CGTGAAAACTCCGAGTAATAAAAAAAAATGAAATTGATAATTACAAAGTTATGAAATATCTAATATTTATTAATTTTATTAAATTAGTAGTTATAACTAGGTGTGAGACCCGTGTACTACACATGTTTATTAAAAATAAAAGTTTAATATCAATGTATAAATATTAAACATTTAAAAAATATTCTTTTATATAAATGTGAACGATATAATGAATAATTAAGTAATTCAATCCATACTAATAAAAAACTATTGACATATTTTAAATAATGATGTTGAAAATTAAGCTGTAAACATTAAATATTTTTTAAATTAACTTTCAAAATAAATACAAACAAAATGATGAATAAGTAGTTATTGAATCTGTACTAATAAAAAAATTATTGACATATTGTAAATAGTTTTTATGAATCAAAATTTTCAAATACCTCTTTGAAGATGATGCTCTTTTTCATTTATTAGGGTAGAGATAGAGATGTATTATACACACATATTTATTTATTAAATTTGAATAAATAATAAATTTGTTAGAATTCAAATTAAAAGTCCAAAAAATTAAAGGTATCTTTTGAATTCAAATATATCATAAATACACGATATTAACTGAGTTATTAGAGCATCCATTTGAAATAAAATATATTTGTAAATTAGTAAACATTTAAATAGAATGAATACTTACATATATAATAATAGACTCATTAATTAGTGAAATTGATTATCTTTATTCTAATAAATGAATAAATTTATTCTTCTATTGACAAGTGTCATATTATTAGAACTCCTCATTAATATTATATGTCACCTACCATGCTACTTGTCAACCTATTAATTATCAATTCCAAATTTCAAATTTTAAATTTCCCTACGCTAATTACATTAAATTAATAATTGATTCTTCATTTTAAATTTCAAATTTTAAAATTTTTCACTCTAATATATTAAATTAATAACATTAGATTAAAAAAATAAAATAAAATCAATACAAATTATAAGGTGATATAACTTCACGTATTTATTTAAATCAACGATTATAATTTTATATAACTAAAAAAAATATCTCTTAAGTAATAATTTATTTAAAATAATTGATTAATAATTTTGATTTTTTAATATAAACGTTTAATTAATTTTATAACCGTGGTTCTCACGGGTTATAAACTAGTTGATTAATAAAAAAAAATAAAGATACACATAATGACATGTGAAATTTAAATAATTATAAAATCTCATATAATGACATGTGGCAAAAACTTTGAGAATGCGACAAGTGGCAAAAAAAACATTAATTTATTAGAGAGGATAATTTTTTGTTTAGATTTTACAATAATTATTTAATAATAATCGTTATTATAAACCTTTATACGTAGTAATTACTTTATACATATTAAATATTGTACTGAATGGCAATATACAGTCATATAACAATGGCATGTATTAAGGAAAGTAAATTATTTTTTTAGTGAGTTATATCATATTTATACATAATATCTTTATTTGTGTCCCGGAGAAAAATCTATGGGTTAAAGTGGAAGATATGAATTGCAAAATAAACTTTTAACATTTGACGAAACATGCATATAGAATGATTAACATGAATCTTTTATTAAGTTAAGTAGATTCGTAATTAGTGGGAGTTTCTGATATTTTATATTATTTTCTAATATTTTATATTATTTTTTATTTCTCAAGTATTTATCATAATCAATAATTTAATATCATTGGATGTACAAGTGGTTTTATATGTTTGGTTCATAAAATAATTTTGAAAATGTAAAACTTATAAAATGAACCGAAATTTAAAAGAATTGAAATATATGATATTGGTTGGTAGAAAATTAAATGGTACTTAATTTCATTATTTATTTATATAAAAATTATTTTTAATTCATATATAAATAAACATTGTAATGGTTTATATACATAAATAAATAAATAAAAGCATTATCTATTGAACTCCAATATTACATCCCATTATATTTGAGTTTAATATATTGACGAGGCATTAAACTTACAAAAAAATAAATAAAATTGTTCTACAATATTAATTTTTATATTTTATTTTAACTACAAACTCATAATCTAAGAGCTACTTAAAGTAGCTTTGGTTTTTATATAATTTTATATCATTAAAAGTTAAAGAATAACAATTGTTTTTAACAAATATTTATATTCAAATAAAAGCTATAATTTTCAATTTAACTTCCAAAGAGAAATCAAATATTCTTCTAAAATTTCTTCCTACAATCTTTTTATCCATGTCAAATGATAACATATGTCATTTTTAATCTTCCTTAATAATATTTTAAATCATTTGCCACCATTTAACATGGGTAGAAAGATAAATAGAAGGAAATTATAGGATGATATTTAATTTCTCGAACTTACAATTATAGCTACAATAACACTATTTTGTTTTTAACGAAAAAATCGGTGTTAAAGTAGGCATGGTGTACAATGTACAATAACACATGCATACCCTTGTCTTGTACCCCTCCGAGGTGGAAAAAGGAATGGTACTATTCATAAATAAAGAAATAATTTTACATAATACACAAAAATGAGAAACAGCATAAAAGAAAAAGAAAGCCCATTCCTTGCGGGACAAAACAATACTTACCGGTTACTACAACGACCGTATATCGGTATATGTCGGGGGAATCTCTTTTGCCAAATATTTTCATTTTAGTCCCTTCATAATTCCTTTTATTTTCCGTTAAACAACTAATTTTTTCTTATTTTATCTATAACCCTCTTTATACTTTTATAGATTTCATACTTCAATTATTGAAGTATATATTCAATCCCTACATAGATGATCCATGTGGTTACAAAAAGTTATATATTCAATCCCTAACTTTTCTTTACCCCCAATCCTCACAATCATTTTCCATCTCCTTCATCAACCATCCTTAACGACACTTCATCGTTGTTACTTCCTTCTTTGGTAACTCCAACACACTTCATATGCCGTTGTCCACCATTCAAATGAAACCTATATGTTTCGTTGACCAACAAATCGACGACACCCATTTGTTTTATCGACACAACAACGATACACAATGTATCACTCTTTTGAAAACAAGTGTACATAGTCCTGCAATTAAACACAAATACATACCTATGATTAAACACCAACCCACATATCACAAGGTTGTGAATGATTGAAATACACAAATCATGACCATATACCATCGATGAAACCTTTTCTAAACAAGATGTTAAGTAAAATAGAAGCATTAACAGACAAACTCATCATTTTAGAGGGGAATCTAGTTATGTGAGTACCAAATGCAAACCGTGAACCAACCAAGTAACCAAGTAAGCGAAACATTAGTACTCCCTTTTTAAGTTAGGGGTTGACAACATTAGTATTAGCCTTTCATTATACATGTTTTCCAAGAGAGCGTCAAATTAGTAATAACATTATTGTTTCCACCTCTTTTAAAATGATAGCATCCATGCTCCCATATAACAAACCAAACAACAACATAATCCCTTTGTAGGGAAGGTTTCCATCATCATCAATGTTAGTCTTCAATTCTAAGAGTTTTCCAAGAGAACACCACATATAGTAGCAATAATATGGTTGTATTATATAGAACACAAACACAGTTGCCTCTTATGATATACAACCCACATCAGGATCAACAAAACCACAACAATATACTTCGATGACCATAATATTCCAGAGAATTAACTAGTACAAAATGCTGGTATGTAAGATTAGTTGCATAATTTATATATTTGAAATACACACGTGTAAATCAATAAAAAAAACCCCAAAGATTGGTGAATGACCTATTTATCAAAACAAATAATAGAAAACTATATAATAAAAGTTTAAACGAGAAAAAGACAAAAAAAAGTGAAGGTAAAATGGTCTTTTCATAGATATTTAAAAAAAGAGGCTTGATGAAGACAACATCAAGAACTAAGCGTGTAATTTTTGCCAACCATAATGATCGTTCATGTAAAAATCTTAAAACTTAGACATAAGTGTAAAACAATCCAAACCACATGGAACAAAACTACAATTTAAATTTCTTGTAAAAAAATTACAACTTGAACCTAAAATGCAGAACAATACAAACCGTCTTGACCAAAATTATAATTTAGTCGTTATGATGCAATTTTAGAATTAAAAATTACATGCACCAAAAGTCCAAAAATACAATTTCCTGAATTAAAAGCTACAGGGACCAAAACTATAAATAATCTATTTTCTTTTAGAATTAAAAACTATAAAGATCAAAAATATAATTTCCTAAATTAAAAACTATAAAGGATCAAAACCATAATTAATCTATTTTTTATAATTAAAAACTATATTGACCAAAAAAATATAATTTTCTAAATTAAAAACTAATAGAACCAAAATTATAATTAATCATTTTTTATAGTTAAAAACTACAAGAATTATAATGTAAAATTTTAAATTAAAAAGTACTAGAAACAAAATCATTCTAAATTTTTGATATTTAAGAGGAATATATCTTAAAGACACATATTACAAGGGTGCTTTCTTTACCCTTAGAAAAATACCAACTTGCTATTATTGCACTCCATTTTAGCTTAAAGAAAATCATTGTATTTGTAATACCAACCCATTAATTAATTTGACAAAAATAGTAGTTATATATTCAAACCTATATTTAAGAGTAAAGGTTTCCATAAATGGAACCCAAGAATTAGGAGGTAGATATTGCAAAGACAAGAAAAGGTAAGGGTATACTTGTAAAATACTCTATCCCACCCCACCCCACCCCACCCTCACTCTCACTCCCTTTACTAAGCAACCAGTCAACCACTGTACCAAAAGGAGCGACAAACAGAGACTGCAGCAGAAAAACCAGTAAAATAACACCCCACATTTAATTTTCACAACCTCCGATCTCTCTTTTCCCCATTTTTCCAAGCTTCCCTTCTTCTCAAAACCCTAAGCACCAGCACATTCATTCATGGCTTCTTCATATTATCCCTTCTAAATCTCCAAATCACAAGCAATGGCCATCTCGAGATCCTTCGTTACCCTCTACTTCTTCACACTCTTCTTCAAATTCTTAATTGCGAACCCAAACACTTCATTTTCTCTCAACAACTTCGGCAAAAATTCAACCTTTCACTCCTATCTCGCTCTTTATGGAGATGCGAAGGTCGTTAATGACGGTTCTTCTTTACAACTCACTGCTCCATTACCTGCCAGTGCTGGTAGAGTGATTTACAAAAAACCCATCAAGATTTACGGAGGCATCCCCAAGAAATTGGTATCAATATCGACGTACTTTTCGTTTTCTATATTAAATGGGAATCATTTAGCTTTTGTTTTGTTCCCTTATGGGTATCCCATGAATTTGTTTGATTATAATTACTCATCCGGGCCCTTGAGTGTTGAATTTGAGAATCATACTGGGATCGATTCATCAAGATTCATGTCTGTTAAAGTTATGAATGTTTCTTCTGTTAATTTGGTGGTTAATGGTAGTGAAAAAATGCAAACTTGGATCGATTATGAACCAGGGTCGAAACGTTTGGAGGTTAGATTGAATAGATTTGGCAGCAATCGACCTATAGATCCTTTGCTATTTGTGCAAAAGGATTTATCCAAAATCTGGCCTAATGTTGAAGGGGTTTATGTGGGGTTGAGTTCATCAAATGGGAATTCTTCAGAAACCTGCAAGATCGATTCTTGGAAGTTTAAAGCATACCGAGCTCCCGACTGGATGCATTCACAGCCATTGGATCCAACAGAAGAGATTCAAAAACACGAGATGAAGCTTCCTAAAGAAAGTGATTGTGTTATGAAGATTCTTGCAGCATTGATAACTGGGATTGGATTTGGGTGTTTAGGTACATTACTTGTGATGTTTATGTGGACTGTTTTTGGGAATAGAAGGCCGGTTATGCCTGAAGAGTTTGCAGTGAAATCTTTGCAAGAAGATGAGCACAAGAAACTGAAGATTGTTCTTGATGAAGCTTGTGCAAATGAGAATTAGGTAACTTTCTTATCTCTAGTTTAGGTGTTAGTGTTACTTTTTCTTGAATTTGTATATGAATGTGGTTATTGTGTTACGATGATTCACAGTTCTAATGTAGGTTTGTGTTTGTGGTTATAATGTTGTGCAATGTTAGGAACAAAATGTAGTTCGATATTGTACAATGTTATGATAATTTAGATGCGAGTTTAAGATTGGAAATGCAGTGTGACCTTAAGTTATATCATATATGTTTTTTGGGGTTGCGTTTGTGTTGTCTTTTTGGGTCAATTGTTGATGATATAATGTTTGTGCATTTAATTTTAATTTCTTAACTTTTTGTATATTGAAGTGAATTTGAGTTCGTTTGGTGTTAATTTTTGACCAAACTATGATTTTTGGATAAATATAAGCACTTGAAGTTTTTGCCTTTTTTCCTTCAAAATGGACCGGTTTGGTTTGATGACTTCCAAAGACCTAGCATATCGATAGTCAACTGTCAAAGATGCGACTACACATTAATATCACAGAGGTAATACTAACAAGGAACATTTCGTACATAAAACTAACATCCCTTAGTTTCAGCCCGTTAAGTGTGGTGAAATGACTTTTACCCTTTATTTTTATTTTTATTAATTATTAGTTATATTTTCCATTTATTTTTATTAATCATATTTAAAATAGACATGATAAGAACATAAATCTCTCTCTCTCTTCGATGACTGCCATTTCCATCGCCTCCCACATATCTCCTCCTCTTCCTCACATTCGCACCTCTACCACCACCCACTTACTTTCCCTCCCACAACCTTCGATATCCTTTACTTCCCTTCACACACACAGCCAAGGGGAAAATCCGTTCTCATATCCCCTGCATCGATTTGCTCTGTTGTGGGCAGGTATGTGTGACATCCCCTAATTTGTCGGCGAGAAAAGACCGATTTAATTTATGCTTTTAAAATAAAATCAGAGTAATCTTTTTAAAAGATGTTGCGGAATTCGTCCCCAAAACAAAAAATGATAAAATTTTATCAAAACCTTTCTTAAAGAAATATATATTTTCATTTTATATCAAAACCTCGGGATGTCATGTTCCGATACAACTCAAAAGCATAAAGAAGACACTATAAGCCTTACAACAGTTATTTATAACTACTGGCCTATAATCTAAAAATCTCTCATCATCATCCGACTATGCTCAGGGTCCACTACCTGTAATACAAAAAGCTGAGTGGGTCAGGCTTGGGAGCCTGGTGAGCATATATGGTTTTCAATCCACAAATATTAATAAAGTTATTAAATTCATCAACCAACAATAACCCTGATTATTCATTTCCGTTATCCTCACTTTACGTCCCTAAACACCTATCACAAGGGACCTAGCCTAAGGATTATCATCGGGATGGACACTACTGCTAAGGGGACTCCTCAGCCATACATGTCCTAAAGGCAACCATGAGGGGGATGGAGTAGACCAATGAACATATAGTTCACCAACACCTACGGGTTGCGAACCTGCTAGCGTTCCACTGGACTGTCTAGAAAGGTCTGTGGTCGTCATCTATACTCCGCTAGACGACTACAACAACAACAACAACATCGAGGCCTCTCATCATTTTATACACATTGACTACTTCGTCTACCCATGTTTTACCCAACATATTTGTAGATAAAAATACATATGTGTAAGATGAAAGTGACTATACACTCACATGATTTAACGATAATCGGGCAGCACTTCGTTTCTTAAAACAATCGTTTCTGATAAAACTGAGAGTTTTAATGAGAAACCGGGCTCTGCGAGGGTTGAGCTTCAAAACCGAAAAGATAATTTTCTCGGGCTTTTCGGGACGTGTTTCGGGTGTTTGGTATGATATCGGGGCTTTGGGGGAAGTTGGAATGGAAGAAATATGGGTTTAGGGGTGAAATATGGCAATTTTCCAAAATATACCCGGGAGGTCTCGCACCCTTCTATTTATAGGGGCGAGGTTCGGAGCTCCGGCCGAAGGAAGGGACACACGGCAGCTTCGGATAGGAGGGGGAGGGACGTGCGTCGGATGCGAGGCGAGGACACGTGGGTGATGCGAGACCGAGACACGGAGAAGGCACGAGGCGGCTTCTGATTGGCCGAGCTTTCGGTGCGAGGAGGGTGCGACACGCGTCGACAGGTGGCCTCGGATGACTCAGCAAATCGGTCACGATGCATGCTGCGAGCGAGGGTGACGTGGCCGAACACTAGCCATGCGAAATTCCTCGGTTTTAGCATTTTTTTCTCGATTTTTGTGTCCGAACTTCTAAAATCCATAACTTTTGCATACGGGCTCCGTTTTTGACGTTCTTTATATGCACGCGTAGGTAAAATTATGCTCTACAACTTTCGTTTAGACTCCGTCGGCTAATTTTGACTTTAATTTTAATATTATTATTTTTAACAGACTGGGACAGGAAAATCCGTTAAAAATTCATAACTTCTTCATCCGACGTCCGTTCTCGTCTGTATTTTTACCGTTGTACTACTATTGACGAGACCTTCGATTCTCGTTTAGGTTGTGTCGGCTAAAAATCACTCGATCTAAAATTCGAGTTTTTAGCTGTCTACTGCTAAACTGAAACTTAGAAAAATCATAACTTCCTCATACGAAGTCAGATTTGGGCGTTCTTTTTAACGAACACTACGAATTTCATTTAGATCACCAAGGCTAAAAAGTAGTTTATCAAAAACTCACTTTTTACGTCATTCGGCGCCGTGCCGGTTTTGTCGCGGAACTTCGACAGGTCATAACTTCTTCGTTATAACTCGGATTTCGGTATTCTTTATATATCCGGAATCCTTGTCACGACCACTACAACTTTCTTAATAGATATCGGCTTTATCTAATATTTATTTTCGACGCTTATTTTTATTCTTAATTAATTAAATCTTAATAATTAAGCATAAAACACATAATTCACATAATAATCACATAATTCCTCTTTATTTCTTCAAAATGAGTTACAAAGGTTAACCTAGACTATTACGTCAATATTAATGCCTAGCCTAGAAACACGAGCGTTACAATTCTCTCCCCCTTAGGATGATTCCGTCCCCGGAATCACACATCAGCAAACAAATGCGAGTAGCGACTCATCATGTCACTCTCCGTTTCCAATGTGAGATTTGGCCCATTTGTATGTTTCCAACGCACAAGCACTAAATCGACCATCTTGCGTCGCAACTTCTTAGTCTTACGGTCAACGATTGCCTCTGGTTCTTCAATTAACCTCTTGTTTTCATCCAACCTTAATTCAGAAATTGGAATTATGTCGGGTACATCTCCCGTGAACTTCCTCAAATAACACACATGAAAAGTGTTATGAATACCATCTAGTTCTTCTGTTAATTCTAGCTTGTAAGTTTGATTCCCGATCCTCTGAAGAACTTTAAACAATCCAATAAACCTTGGACTCAACTTTCCCCTTTTACCAAATCTTATAAGTCCCTTCCACGGCGAGACTTTAAGTAAAACCGAATCTCCAACTTCGAATGTTAGCGGTTGTCTTTTCTTGTTAGCATAGCTATTTTGACGATCTTGAGCAGCTAACATTCTTTCCCTAATCACTTTCAACTTTTCAGCAGTCTGACGGACTATTTCAGGTCCCATAAACTGCTTTTCCCCAGCTTCCAGCCAACATGACGACGTTCGACACTTTTCTCCATATAAAACTTGGTAAGGTGCCATCTTGATGCTTGAGTGGAAACTATTATTATAGGAAAATTCTACCAGAGGTAAATGTTCATCCCAGTTACCTTGGAATTCCAGGGTACATGCTCTTAGCAAATCCTCCAACGTTTGAATTGTTCGTTCGCTCTGACCATCGGTTTGCGAATGGTAAGCTGTACTCGAACACAATTTCGTACCCAATTCCTCTTGTAGACTTCTCCAAAACCTTGAGGTAAACGGCTGTCACGATCTGATACAATCGTTAATGGAACACAGTGAAGCCTCACAAGTTCCTTCACGTAAAAATTCGCAAGCTTATCCATAGACCATTTCTCGTTGGTTGCTATGAAATGCGCACTCTTAGTGAACCGATCAACGACCACCCAAATCATGTCGTGACCGTTCTTTGTTCTGGGCAGTTTAGTCACGAAATTCATGGTGATGTCTTCCCATTTACCCATAGGTACAGGTAAAGGTTCTAAACTCCCATACGGTTTCTGATGTTGTGCCTTAACCCTAGCACATGTCATACACTCGGCCACATACTTAGCAACATCGAGCTTCATCGTCGGCCACCTTTAGTAGTATTTTAGATCCCTATACATTTTTGTGCTGCCGGGATGAATCGAGTACATGGTCTTGTGAGCTTCTTCCATCAGAAGATCTCTTACTCATCCCGTCTTAGGTACCCGAATCCTATCTTGGAATACCTTCAGTCCTTGACCGTTTGTATCAAACACTAACGTTTTTCCCAAACGTTCTTCCTTTCAGTCATTTTTCTCTAAAGCTTCCTCTTGAGCTTTCTTTATACTTTCCACAATTGTCAAGACAACTTCAATTCTCATTGCTCTTGGCCTTTTCTTTTCAAGGTTTACCTTCCGGCTGAGTGCATCAGCAACAACATTTGCTTTACCAGGGTGGTAAAGTATCTCACAGTCGTAGTCCTTGAGTAACTCTAGCCAGCGTCGTTGCCTCATGTTCAATTCCTTCTGATTAAAGAGATATTGTAGACTCTTATGATCAGTGAAAAATTTGCATTTAGTGCCATAAAGATAGTGCCTCCATATCTTTAAGGCGAATACTACCGCTGCCAACTCCAGATCATGAGTGGGGTACTTCTTTTCATGCTCTTTTAATTGCCTCGATGCATATGCTATCACTTTATCCCTTTGGGTCAGGACACAACCTAACCCAACTCCAGATGCATCGCTATAAACTGCGAAGTCATCAACTCCTTCAGGCAAAGAAAGAATCGATGCTTCACACAATTTCTTCTTTAACTTCTCAAAAGCTTCCTTATGCTTCTCATTCCAAGTATAA